AAAAAAAAAAAAAAAAAAAAAAATCTTTGCCAGCCAGAAACAATGGCTTACACATAGAATCCCAGCATACTGGAAGGCTGAAACCAGATGATCATTTGAGGCCAGGAACTTCGCAAGACCAGCCTACGCAAGATAGCGAGACCCCATCTCTACAAAACAAAATTTTAAAAAATCAGCCAGGTGTGGTGGCATCACGCCCCTAGTCCCAGCTACTCGAAAGGCTGAAACAGGCAGATTTCTTGAGCTTAGGAATTACAGTAAACTATGATCAGGCCACTGCACTTGACCTTTCCTGGGTGACAAGACAGAGAGAGACCCTGTCTCTAAAAAAAATTCAATTAAAATTTTTACTTCCAACTTTTTTTTACTTTTTTTTTTGAGACAAGATTTTACTCTGTTAACCAAGCTAAAGTTCAGCATCACAATCATAGTTTACTGCAACTTTGTGAGTTCAAGAGATCCTCCTGCCTCAGCCTCCCAAGTACCTAAGATTATAGGCATATACCTGAGTCTTGAATTCCTGGGCTTAAAGGATCCTCCTATCTCAGTTTCCTAAAGTGCTAGGATTTCAGGCTCAAGCCACCTCGCCTGGCCTTTTAAACTCATTTAATACATAAGAATGGGGATCTGTCTTATGCTAGGCACTGTTCTGGGTTTTAATGGAGGCAAGTATAAAGTAACAGGTTTAACAATGATTAGTGAATTAAAAATGTGGTTGTTTTTTTTTTTTGAAACAGAGTCTAACTATGTCGCCCTCAGTAGAGTACTGTGGCATCACAGCTCACAGCAACCTCAAACTCTTGGGCTTAAACGATTCTCTTGCCTCAGCCTCCCAAGTAGCTGGGACTACAGGTGCCTGCCACAATGCCTGGCTATTTTTTGTTGCAGTTGTCATCGTTGTTTAGCTGGCCGGAGCTGGGTTCAAACCTGCCAGCCTTGGTGTATGTGGCTGGTGCTGTAACCACTGTGCTACTGGCACCGAGGCCTGAGGGGTTTTTTATTTAACAATAATTATTATTACGTCGTCAAAAATCACCACAGAAAGAATGATCCAAATTTGTGTTTCCATTCCAATAACCCACCTGCCCCAGGTCCAAGGTGAGGTTGACTTTGTTGTACTGGGTGCCTGAGGAGAGAGGCGGGCTTTGCCACCAACGTTCAGATCCATCGATTGCACTGGTGACTGGATGTGCTTTCCTGGGGTCCTCAGAATTGCAGTAGTCACAGAACTGGCCCTGAAAAACAAGGTCCTTTTCTTACTTTCAAGCAATTGTTTTTATTAATTTAATACAAGAGGGAACCAAGCAAAGACTGCTTTATAGGGCTTCGAGATGTCTGCTGTTAGAATTAATTACAATGTATTCCAAAGACAGTAGTAAGGCTTTCTCCTTTTCATAAACCATACCACTGGTTTTATACCTCTGTCTGCCGGGTTTCTAGGACAGACATCACATTTGTCTTCCACATTCATGGCTTTGCTCTTCTTGCTTCATACAACACTTCAACAAGAGCCTGTTGTGATGTTTCCTCTCCCACAAATCCACTTCGCTCTTGAAATCCTCCTCTGTGCAATTCTGTGCAAGGCCCTGGGATACAAGAGGCACCTGCCCCCAGACCCGGTGGAGGAAATAAGTATGCAGATATCCCCCAGGGAAGCAGGTGCCTCTGGAGCAGTGGTTCTCAACCTTCCTAATTTGCCACCCTTTAATATAATTCCCCATGTTGTGGTGACCCCCAACCGTAAAATGATTTTCATTGCAACTTCAGAACTGTAATTTTGCTACTGTTATGAATCGTAATGTAAATATCTGATATGCAGGATAGTCTTAGGCGACCCCTGTGAAAGGGTCGCTTGACCCCCAAAGGGGTCGCGACCCACAGGTTAAGAACCGCTGCTCTGGAGCATACGAATGCTGCAGTCAAGGGCAGTAGACATTCTGGGGTGGCAGAGGTGGCATCTCAGCTGCTTGGGAAGATGGTACCTGTTCCTGAGCTGCTAACAGGGACAGCCTTCCAGGGGAGGACCCAGCATGGGCAAAGGCACAGAGGCCAGCTGGTCCAGACTGACACAAGTAGTGAAGGATGAGCCTTAACATGTAAATGGGAGAGATGTGGCTGGTGGTGAATTCCACAGTGAGAAGCCAGTAATTAATCCAGTAGGTAAATGGCATCCATTTTTACCTAGAGTGTAAAAATCTAAAGATTTGTTTGGTACTATAATTCTAACTCCTTAATGAATTACTCTTTTTTGGTGGGCAGATTTTTTGGATTCTGTTTTTCATGGTATTTTTCCTTATTGCATGATTTTATAGCCTTTTACCATGTAAAAAGCAGAATAGGTCAGGCATGGTAGCTCAGGCCTGTCATCCCAGCACTTTGAGAGGCCAAAGCAGGAGGATTGATTGAGCCTAGAAGTTTGAGATCAGCCTGGGCAATAGACCAAGTCCCCATCTCTACAAAAAATAAAAATTAGCCAGGTGTGTGGTGGCCTACATCTGTACTCTCAGCCACTTAGGAGGCTGACGTGGAAGGATTGCTTAAGCTATGATGGCACCCTGCACTCCGGACTGGGCAACAGAGCGGCATCCTGTCACCCGCCAAAAAGTAGGCTGGGCACTGAGGCTCATGCCTATAATCCTAGCACTCTAAGGCAGAGGCAGTAGGATCTCTTGAGGTCAGGAGTTTGAGACCAGCCTGAGCCAGAGCAAAAACCTGTTTCTACTAATAATGATAGGAAAAATTAGCTGGGGGTGGTGGCAGATGCCTGTAGTCCTAGCTACTTGAGACTTTGAGGTTACGGTGAGCTATGATCACACCACTGCACTCTAGCTGGGTGACAAGTGAGACTCAGAGCCCCCCATTTTTTATGTTCAATAAAAAATTGAACACAGGTCTTTCTTCTTATGTTGAATATATCTTAACTAGGTCCAAAGATCATGCTTAGCCAGAGATGGTCTTCACATACGAAACTACTCTGTTCCCAAAGTAAATTATTGTAGAGTCTAACCACCACATAGGACAGGAACAAAGAAACAAACTTATGGCCTCCCCAGAACGTGCTGTGGCAAAGAGGGAGCTCTGGCCCTGGCCTGCATCTTAAAAGTTAATTCTTAAATGTTCAAAGACAAATTGGATCTTGGTATGTAACAAAATGCGTGATCAAAATATTTTCATCTATTATACAACAAATGGTTTTTTCATACATGGTGAGCTATCACTATAGACCTTGGGGGGGTATGTGGCCCCATAAGTCCATGAGGTCAGAGACCATGTATCTTGTTTCTGACTCTGTCACTCCTGCATGGCACATATTAGAAACTAATAAAGGAATAATTGCATCAGAAATTTTGCAAAGATTTTCAATTCTTTCTATAAAATTTCTTATGATAGTAAGGGGCTTAATTAATAACTTTTTAAGGTAGGACATTCAAACATTTATAACTAGTATTTTTCCCTTTGGCAATACTTATTTTTCCCATTTTTCCCCCTAGAGAACATTTTATCAGTTTAATTATTTGATGAGGTAATTAAATTTTTATTCTTTGAACTTAGGAAGATTTACATCAAATTAGAAGCAAATTTCTTCTAAAAATGTGGAAGCTTATGACTTGTATTTATCTCTCCTTCTCCACAGGGTAGACAAGAGGAATGGAGATGACTTTTCTGTGGTTATAGTGATTCTCAATTTCAAAATAATAATAGTATTCAGGGCAGAGCCTCTGGCTCAGTGGGTAAGGTGCCAGCCCCATATACTGAGGGTGGCGGGTTCGAACCTGGCCCCATCCAAACTGCAACCAAAAAATAGCTGGGTGTTGTGGCAGGCACCTGTAGTCCCAGCTACTCAGAAGGCTGAGGCAAGATAATTGCCTAAGCCCAAGAGCTGGAGGTTGCTGTGAGCTGTGACGCCACTGCACTCTACCGAGGGTGATAAAGTGAGACTCTGTCTCCAAAATAATAATAATAAAAATAAAACAAACATTCATAGAGCACTACTATACACTGTACATTTTCACATTTCATACTAAGATTATCATCACCTCTGTTTTGCAGATGAGGAAACAGAGTGGAGAAGTTACATAATTTTTCCAAAAATCACACAACTGGTAAATGATAAATCCAGGAGCCAGGGGTAACAGGTTACTACCCTGTAACCTCTTCCCCACTCTTACAGCTGCAACTCCGATTTATTAAACACCCGTGGGTAGTCAGTAACAGATGTTATTTCCTGGAATCAGTTGTAAATGTAGCCTTCACGATAGCCTCAAAGCCATAGTTCCAAGGCCTCTGAGAATCCTCTCTTCATTTCTACCAAAGCCCCAGATGAAAGGACGCATATCATTTCACAGACTGGGTAAGAGCACAGGCTCAGGAACTTTAGCACCTACTAATCGTGTGATCAAGGGCTAATTACTAAAATGTGCATTTTGAGAGTGAACAATCAATAATTTGCAACTACACATTAAAAAAGTAATTTTACAATCAAGAGAGCATCACTAATTATAAGGTTAGTGTCAACACTGACCTTTGGGAGTTTGACTGATATAACAGAAAATAAGTGAAAAGTGAATTCCTGGCAGTGAACTTTGCTCAAGTGATAAAAATGAGTCAGACTTTTTGTGTATTTCTACTCATGTCGCTGGAAAAAAACCTTAACAGCAAAGTGTGTATAAAAACAACTTTTTGAGAAAATAATGCCAGAGGTGATATTTTTTGGATTAATTAACTGTGTGTTAGCCAAAGTTAGGGGACACTTTTTGGCCATAAAAAGTAAGTTCTAACAGAGCGGCGCCTGTGACTCAGTGAGTAGGGCACGGGACCCATATACCAAGGGTGGTGGGTTTAAACCTGGCCCTGGCCAAACTGTAACGAGAAAATAGCCAGGCATTGCGGCGGGCACCTGTAGTCCCAGCTACTCGGGAGGCTGAGGCAAGAGAATCAGCTAAGTCCAAGAGCTGGAGGTTGCTATGAGCTGTGACACTATGGCACTCTACCAAGGGTCACAAAGTAAGACTTTGTCTCTAAAAAAATAAAAAGTTCTGACAAAGATTCCACAAGCTTAAGTTGAAATTAGCAAGCAAAAGTATATCATACACTTACTTTTGAAAAGTAGAAAGAAAAAAATTAGTCCAAAAAATTAATACTATATTTAAAAATAAATACTTAAAAAGTCAAGCATTTTGGGTAGCACCTGTTGCTCACTAGATAGGGCGCCAGCCCCATATACCAAGGGTGGCAGGTTTGAACCCGGCTCCAGCCAAACTGCAACAAAAACATATAGCCGGGCCTTGTGGTGGGCACCTATAGTCCCAGCTACTCAGGAGGCTGAGGCAAGAGAATCGCCTAAGCGGAGGAGTTGGAGGTTGCTGTGAGCTGTGACACCACAGCACTCTACCGAGGGTGATAAAGTAAGACTTTGTCTCTAAAAAAATTTTTTAAAAAAGTCTAACTTCTTTAAGTTACTCTTTAATAGTCAGAATGAGAACTTTTTATTCCACTATGTTATTCAAATATTCCTTCTCTTTCCTTTCCCTTTTTTATTCTTTTTTTTTTAATTGAATGGTAACTATGTACATTAATGCATTTCTGGGGTACAGTGTGGTGTTTTCACATACAATTTGAAACCTTTCCATCAAACTGGTTAACATAGCCTTCATGTTATTTACCAAGTTATTCCCTTTTTTATTCTTGACATTTAAGTGGTTTTTACCCTACATCTTGAATGGCATATTTACTGCAAATCAACCGGTATAAAGAATCCTAAAGAATTCAGTAATACCTTGGAGGAAATCAGACTGTGGATCTAAAAGTAAAAAAATTAGAAGAACGACTTTTTAAAAAGATGTTGAAAACCCAATCCAGACTTCCAAATCATTTTTTGAGAGATCTTTGTGGAGATTTAAATGTAAACGGAATTGCCACCTGGATAAGTAGACTTGGGCCTCATTCTCAGGTAGACAAAGCTAACGACCGATCTCTGAACGTAAAGGCCTTGAAACAAGCTTTTGAGAGAAGATGACCTAATGCTGCATTGTAAAAATGCAATGCTGGTAAGAGTTTTCAAAAGAAAACTAGTAGAGCCGAGGAGAAAAGAATACTTGGAACCTCTCAGACCACAGATCATCGTGGAAGCCCTGGCCTTCCCATGAGTATTACTAGGACAGGCCACATTTAATTTTCCATAGCCACATCTTCCAGTAGACACTTACATTAACCTTCTAGCCATCATGCACTAAGG